ACTATGCAAATGAGCTTAGGAGATCAAATCCTGGTAGTACCTTTTTTGTAGAACTCGCAGATGATGGCCAGTTTCAGAAATGCTATTTCTCTTTTGATGCTTGCAAGAGGGGTTTCCTATCTGCCTGTAGGTCTGTTATTTTCCTAGATGGATGTCACTTGAAGACACAGTTTGGAGGCATTCTACTTAGTGCAGTAGGAATGGATCCGAATGATTGTATTTTTCCTGTTGCACATGCAGTGGTTCAGAGTGAAGACACAAAAGCTTGGAGGTGGTTCTTGACAGCTCTAAAGCAAGACCTTGGCATTAGAAACACTTCTCCTTGGACAATCATGTCTGACAAGCAAAAAGTGAGTATTTCACATATGTAATACATGTATAGTTAATTGTACTATTGCATATCTAATTATTTATGTTTGCTTACCAGGGTTTAATTAAGGCGGTTAGAGAACTGTTTAGTGACTCCTCACATAGATTCTGTGTCAGACATTTATGGCAGAATTTCAACAAAAACTTCAAAGGTGAGGCCCTTAAAAACTAACTCTGGAAATGTACTAGAATTAGTACTGAAGGACAATTTAGACAAAGCATGAATGAGATGTCAGTTCTTAATAAGGGGGCCCATGATTGGCTAGAGGAGTTGGCACCTAAAACATGGGTAAGGGCCTATCAAAACGACTTCCCTAAGTGTGATGATCTGTTGAACAATAATTGTGAGGTGTTCAACAAATACATATTAGATGCAAGGGAAATGCCGATTATAAGCATGTGCCAAAGGATTAAAGGGCAGTGTATGGGAAGAATTTATGGCAAGCAGCAAGAGCCTTTTAAGTGGCATGGTACAATATGTCTGAAGATAATGAAAAAGTTGGATAGAAATATTGAAGCCGCAAGAACTTGTCTTGCTTCACCTGTTGGAAAGGGCATCTTTGTAGTAAATAATAGAGGTGTGGATTTTAGTGTTGACACCGTACTAGCAAAGTGCAGCTGCAGGAGATGGGACTTGTCTGGTATTCCGTGCTGTCATGAAGTATCTGCCCTTAGGTATGACAAGATTTCTCCAGAAGATAGGGTCAACTCATGCTACTCAATTGCAACATATTGCAAGGCCTATGAACACATAATTTTGCCATGTAGAGATGTTACTGAGTGGACTAAAATGAATGGAAGGCATATCACACCACCACCATTGCTTAAACAAAAAGGTAGGAGGAGGAAAATAGGAGAAAACAACTAGAGGAGAAAGAAGGGAAGAAAGGAGTAAAAATTAGTAAGAAAGGTGCAATAATTCATTGCAGTTACTGTGGATTAGCTGGTCATAACAAAGGTGGTTGCTTGGACTACAAGTTAGGACTCACACCTAAGAAAAAGTTTCACAGGGTAAAAGTCAGAGCTGAGCGAGATGTTTCCTCCTCAGATGAGGAAGAACCTGCTATAACTCAGGTAAATGTGGTTTTATTTGCACTGTTTGAGGATTTCCTAACTATTTAGCGTTAATTGATCATTACATATTTATTTTCTATGTGTAGAAACAAAACCAGCGAACTGAACGAATAGTGACGCATGAGCAGCAACATTACGAGCCTGAGATTATTGCTACCTTAACCCAAGAGGTCTGGGATTTTTTCCATATATAAAATTAGTATATTTATATGTTTCCAGAAGAGCAGTTTATATGTTTATATCCTCTTTTTGTTCAGAGAGTTTCTAGCCAGAGGGAATCAGTTGCACATGGACCATTACCAAAAAATTCTTTCATCCAGATGCATGCAATGTCTCAGCAACCAATTGCTCCAACTACCGCAACAACTGTGGGGAATGTGCACAGGAAGAGGGAGGTTATTGCACTTGCAAAGCTCAAAGCTACAGCAGAGAGAAGGGAGGTGGCTGATCAAGTTCGATGCAGCAATGGCAAAGCTGAAAGAGGAAGAAGAAAAGTTGTTGCAAGCAGCTGAGGAAGCAAATTTTCTTATACATCAAGCAGAGGAGGAGGAGAGGCGGCAGACTTGGCAAGAATATTTGCAAACTGAGGAGGCTGCAAGACAACAAGCTTGGGAGCAGCAGCGCCATTCTCAAGACACACAAAGGATTGTTGACGGGGAGGAGAGAAAGAGAGTAGCTGAAGAAGTAACTTTAGTAAAGCAGCAAGACATGGATGAGAACAATGAGAAAAAGAAGGCTGAAGACGCAGCAAAAGTTAAGGCAATGGATGAGCAGGACAACATGAAACATTGGCAAATTCAGACAGAAACATCAAAACGGGCACCTTCCAACTAGGACAGGTCAAGGTTTAAAAAACCAAGAAAAGTTAACATGTTTGATGAGCTAAGGAGTGGCTGAATGCCATGTGCGAACTTGTCAGGGTTAGATTATTTTATTAATGAACTAGTAATGTCAGCTGCAGAACTTGTAATCAGTGTTTTATGTACTGTTGATATCATATACGCTTGGTGTTCAGGTCATATACGCTTGGTCTGCTTCTCCTAAATTTAGTTAAATCGTCTTTATATTTGTTTTCTGTGATTCCTACTGAATGCACTTGCATCTCATGGGAAATCAGCTATGGAGAAGTTTCATTTGTGTTCTGTGAGTCCAGCAAAATTCGCCTACATCTTGTGAAAATTCAGCTATGGAGATGTTTTGTGTGCTGTGTAGTTCTGCAAAGGCACTTACACACTGTCAAAATTTAGCTAGGGACATATTTTATTTGTGTGCTGTGTATTCCTACAAAATGCACTTACATCTTGTGAAAATTCAGCCAATGTGATGTTTCATTTGTCTGCTGTGTACTCCTGCAAAATGCACTTACATATTGTGAAAATTCATCCAAGAAGATGTTTTATTTGTGTGATGTGTAGTCCTGCAAAATTAAGTCACATATATGCTCAATTGTTGCTTCAGGTTGGTCTCGGTACTGTACAAACTGCACTTCACATGCATGTAGTACAGAAGGATAGATAAGGACAACACTTTCTGACATTAACATAGTTCTCTTGCATAGCTGACATTACATTACATATAACAAAAGAGACACATACTGTTGGCAGTAAATATAGTTCATGTAAAAGCTGACGGCCAAGTTCACTAATCTAACATACATAACACTGAGAAATACATAGCCTGATATTCACAAGTTCAGAACTCGCACTGATACAGAGCACCCACCACTGGTCGATGACGGGAAGAAGTGCGGCCGACGTCATCGCATCGCCGCCATCTCCGACCGCCGTCGCCATCAGCACGCGCCAACGTTATCGTGCCTCCAGCGCATCCATGGCGGATGTGCGCGCGCGGCACATGGCCTTACCTCTTGCGGTGGCGACCTCCTGCGCGCAAGCTCCGGCTCGAGCCACAGGAGCGAAGCCGATGACACCCACACCATTGATGGAGAGGAGAACTCGGTCTCGCCGCTCATGCTGAGGAACGAAAGGGGAAAAAATATTAGAGTTAGGAATTTGGGAGGGAATCGGTGCCGCGAACCAGTTAGTCGGCTGGTCGTGGGCCCTATACTGACGTGGCGGGTGTGGCGTACACCATACGTACGCGTTGCCGTAGCACAGGACCGGTTTGCCAAGATTAAGGACCATACTGAGTCCGTATTTGTAAGTTTCAGGATTGTATAGAAGCAGTTTGTGAGTTCCGGAATCATTATAGACATCGCCAACAACTTTAAGGATCAAAGATGCATTTTACTCCTACTTACAGTCCGGACCCAGTGTTCTCAAAATCAAAAAAGAAAAAGAAATACAGTGCGGACCCACAAGGTCAACTTGGACGAGGGCCCGAACCTAAACGATCGTCTCCAGCGCAGCAAGTCTCACTAGGACAGAACAGCACCAACTGCCGCTGAGGTCCTGTCTGTGCCTTCTCTTTTCCTACTCCAACCTCCCCTCTTGATTTTTTTCCCCTACAATCGGTTTCCACTTCTCTCCTCACCTCGCATCCTCTACTCAGGCTCAGATCCGATAGCCCCCCCGCCTCCAACCCCGCTGCGCCCAATCGGAATGTAGCTCTCCCCCAGGTCCGATCCGTTCAGCCGTAGCATTTTATTCGCCCACTGATTTAAACTTTTCGGACTTCTTTTTTGGATCCGAGTCGTGCAGGTCCTTAGTTTGGGTGTTGAGTATTGGTGTTAGCCAATGCGTTCCTTACTTAAGCCGATTATTAAGGATTTGGTTGGTTCTTGGTTGCTAGATCCGTGTGAAGGCCTACCTCTTCGGCCTGTTCTTCAGTTTATGCATTAGTGGGATCTTAGCTCGGTGCTGCGGATTTTCTTTCTTTTGTATTCTATGAAACTCAGTCAGGAAGCAATTGTTGTGTACTCCCTCCGTTCGGAATTACTTGTCTCGGAAATGGATGTATCTAGAACTAGATACATCCATTTCCGAGACAAGTAATTCCGGAGGGAGTACTTTGGAACATATCTTGTTGGGATTAGCTCATTATGAACTTGTTGTCAATCTGTATTTGCAGTTTCTTTATGTTTTTTTTAATCTCTTTAGAAGTATGTTAGAGTGTGCGCTCCGGTTCATTGCATTTTTCGCATGGGATTGGCGGGTTAATTATGGCATATGTGTGGTACGAGTGAATCAAGAGCCCTTTAGGCTTAGATGCAGTTTGGGAGTACATTAGGCATGTGATCATGTTTAGGTGAACTCTTCAATTATTTGCTCAGCTAAAACTGGATAGGTTGGATATAATTGGGAACCTTATCTGTTTCTTGACTGCATAGTAACCAACGAAGGGCCAAGACAAGAATGCCTGCTGCAGTAGAGATATCCATGCCCTGTTGAATGAGATGGTAGAATTTATGTCATTTACTACTCGACAAAGCGATGTGCGGCTCATATTCTGCTACTGATTTATATTCATGAGACGGTAGTGTATATCTCCATTGCAAGTATAGTGAGCATTGAATCTGATTTTGCTTCCCTTGTAGCACAGTAGACTAGTTTAAGAGCAGAAGAATATAGTTAATGGTTCCTGGATGAGAAGTGGAAATGCTACTGGCTGTGGAAGGAGGAGGTTTCTTCTCATCGTCAGCTTCAGGATACAGTCATGGCCTTGCTCTTTTGCTGCTTGGACGGAAAGAAGAAGAGAAGCCTGTCAAGGCATGGAGTCAGTACCGACTAGTCGATGGGGAAGCTGAGCATGTGTATCATCTGGCTAACACGAAAAACCAAGCTCCCCGTAAGTGTGCTCCCTTCATCTGCTTCGGTAGCACTGCTTTGGAGCTCGAAGGGGCGTCTCCTCCGAAATTGAGTTCAAGCAACACTTTGGACTCTTTGGAAGAGCCATCCCGTTCAACAAACAAGAAGGTTACCACTAATGGTTCCATAACTGGAGATGAGAGAAAAGGTTGTCTTAAGAGCAACTCAAAAAGGGATTCGTCAGAGCATTGTATAGTGGTGAGTGAAGGTGAAGAACCACGTGAGTCACTGGAAGAGGTGCAAACCTTGAAATCTGGTATGGAACGGAGAAAAGTTCAATGGACTGATACATGTGGAAAGGAGCTTTTTGAGATAAGGGAATTCGAAGCCAGGTACAGTCTGAAAATTATATTCCCTTCTTTCATCATTACCAGCACAGAAATAGTACATTGTCGTTTGTCTATTTGTAGATTATAAATTTTAGCACATTTCTAGAAGCAGTTCACTATTAGTGCTATAAGTTGTCTACTTTGGTGGAGTTGAACTTTGCTACTCCCTCTGATCCATATTATTTGGCGCAGCTTTAGTACAACTTTAAAGCTGCGTCAATTAATATGGATTGGAGGGAGTATTAAGGATCGTACATCAACTATCTCAAAAGTGATTCCAACTTTGTTCCGATTTACACTCATTTATTCATATGATGCACCTCCTCTATGTCGATAGAGCTGATAGGTATTTATGTGTGTTTGTTGGAATTAATGTGAAGGCCAGTTTACTACTTCGATTGCTAATTGCAACCTTTTCAAACTTATTGATTCTCTAACTGCAATCTGTTTTGAGCATGAGTGCAGACACATGCTTTATTATTTTGTTGGCTCACAAGTCTTGTACCCACTGGTTGTTACTTGTAGCCATAATATTTTCTGAGTACTGAATGATTATGTTTCTTTCAACAGCGATGGAAGTTTGTCAGATGATGAACTAGAAAATGAGGGTTTCAGGAAATGTGAGTGTGTGATTCAGTAGATTTTTCGTCTGCCATTTGAAACAATGGATAGCTGCAGCTTTTCTGCTAGGATATGCTTACGCTGGCAACTTCTCAACAATCTGGGTGATACCTGTGGCTTGAAGTTAAACAAGCAAAGGATGATCCTATATGTCTGCTTTCCTGTTAGCTAGCTTGCACGGCAGGGTTGCAGTTTTGATGCCCGCTGTATCATATCAAGATTTGACCCATTTATTTATTTTCGCCTTATTTTCCTTCATTTGTGTTCACATGCTCCAGGTTGTAACATACAAGGCTGCTAGTAAGGGGATTCCATGTCTCCTCTTCTGTTCAATATTGTGGCAGATATGCTGGCCGTCATTATTGGCAGGGCCAAGCAGCATGGCCATGTAGAGGGTCTAGTTCCTCATCTTGTCGATGGAGGAGTTTCCATTCTACAATATGCTGATGGCACTATTCTATTCATGGAACATGACATGGCTAAGGCACATAATATGAAACTTATCTTGTGTCTCTTCGAACAATTGTCTGGATTAAAAATTAATTTTCATAAGAGCGAGGTGTTCTGCTTTGGGAAGGCCAAAGACGAGGAACACAAATACAGACAATTGTTTGGATGCGAATCAGGTGCCTTACCATTCAGTTACTTGGGTATACCGATTCATCACCGGAAGCTCTCCAATAAAGAATGGAAATGTATTGAAGAATGAATTGAAAAAAACTTAGCTGCTAGAAGGATAAGCTTATGTCATATGGAGGCCGGCTAGTCCTGATTAACTCAGTACTGACTAGTATGTCGATGTTCCTACTGTCGTTCTTCGAAATTCTGAAAGGAGTTCGCAAGCGACTTGATTTCTTTAGATCCCGCTTCTTTTGGCAGTTTGATGAGGCCAAGCGGAAATACCGTCTCGCGCGATGGGATATCATTTGCCGACCTAAAGACCAAGGGGGTCTCGGTATTGAAAACTTAGAAATCAAGAACAAATGTCTTATGAGCAAATGGCTCTACGACTAGAGACTGAGCCAGAGGGCATGTGGTCTCAACTCTTGCGCAATAAGTATCTACACTCAAAAACACTAGCCCAGGTTACCATGAGACCGACTGACTCGCCGTTCTAGAAGGGACTTATGCGCACGAAGGACCCGTTCTTTCGTAGGGTCAAATTCTTGGTTGGCAATGGAATGTCAACAAGATTTTGGGAGGACACGTGGCTAGGAGAGACGCCCTTGGCCATCCAATATCCTACACCCTATAATATTGTGCAACGTAAGAAGGATTACGTGGGTACCATCCTTCAAACAATTCCCTTGAACATCCAATTCAGACGTGTGTTAGTTGGTGAGAGATGGACCGCTTGGATGCACCTGGTTCGGAGATTGATAGAAGTTCAACTCTCCGATCAGCCGGATTCAATACAATGGAAATTGACTACGAATGGGAGGTTTACGGTGAAATCTTTTTATATGGATCTCATTAACTCTGGCCCCCTATCAAGGTCGCTGCACATTTGGAAAGTTAAGATTCCTTTGCGTATTAAAATCTTCATGTGGTTTGTTCACAAGCAAGTGATACTCACAAAGGACAACTTAATTAAGAGGCGATGGGTAGGCTCTTCGCGGTGCTGTTTTTGTGATCATGACGAAACCGTACAACACTTATTTCTTGAATGCCCACTTGCTAAGTTACTTTGGAGAACGATTCATATAGCTTTTAATATTAATCCTCCAGTTGATATTGCGTCTTTGTTTGGGATGTGGTTAGCTGGGGTTGATCAGATTACTGCGGCTCGTATTCGGATTGGAATATGTGCGTTATTATGGGCTATATGGAATTGCAAGAATGATATGATTTTTAACAGACAACACACTTTAACCTTTTTGCAGGTTATCTTCAGAGCTACAACTTGGATCCGTACGTGGTCCTTACTCACTCCTATGGACTCCAGGGAGCCTTTGATTACTGGGTGCAACCAATGGGAGATGGTAGCTCAGGTTATCTTCAACCGGTTCGGATGGCGCTCGCATAACAGGATAGGAGTCTAGAGAGCTTATCCTTTTTATCTTCATTGTGCCGGTTGACATGGTTCACATGTATTTTTCCTTTTTTTGATACTTTATTCTGGTCCGTTTTGTGAGCTGTAAGACTTTTATAACGATTCTGGATTGTTAATAAGATGGCCGCATGCATCATCATGATGCAGAGGCCGGGGCATGCCTCCATTTCCAAAAAAAGTAAGTGTTTTCAGTTCCAGGGATGTTGATTCCTGCCATCTTTGCTTTGCTTTGCTCCTCACATGTTAAGTGATGCCCTGTTAACTCATTCCTGTCAAGACGTTGTTATCATTTGTTGACGATGACTACTATTGTTAACTCCTCGTATGAAAGCTTTCTCGCCCAAGTGGATATCTTGGATGAAGTCTTTTGTCTCGGGAGGAAGTGTAGCTATAAAGATAAACGATGATGTAGGACCTTATGTTCAAACAAAGAAGGGTCTTCGACAGGGTGATCCCCTATTCATTAGGCTCTTCAACATCGTATCTGCCATGTTGGCCGTTCTAATTGATAAAGGCAAAGCAGATGAGCAGATTAGTGGAGCAGTGTCACATCTAGTCGATGGAGGCCTATCTATTCTTCAATATGATGACCTAAGGAAGGCTCGTAACAAGAAGAAATTACTTTGTGCATTCGAGCAACTATCGGGTCTTACAATTAATTTCCATAAGAGTGAGTTATTCTATTTTGGACAAGTCCAAACTATGGAGAATATAAACCGAGATTTTTGGTTATGCCTCCGATGAATTTCCATTTACATATTTAGGTATTCCTTTTCAAAACTTGCAAATGTTGAATGGAAAAGGGTGTTAGAATGGTTCAAGAAAAGACTTTGTAGTTAGAAAGGAAAACATCTTTCTTCGGGAGGTCGCCTTAGACTGATTAACTCGGTGCTTAGTAGCCTTTCCTTGTATATGATGTCCTTTTGCGCTATACCAAGGGGTATACTTAAAAAATTGGTTATTTCCGCTCTAGATTTTACTAGCAGAGTGGTTAAATGGACCATTTTGTGCCGCCCTAGAGAGCAAAAGGGGGGAGGAGGGGGTCTAGGAATTCATGATTTGGTCATGAAGGTTGCTGCCTTACCAAGCAAGTGGTTGTTTAAGCCACTGACAACTGATGGAGTGTGGCAATTGTTGATACTATTCTTGTTTATTGATGCCTTTAGTATTTTATGCCAAACTTTGACCATGGATTTAATTAAGAGAATAATAATGCATGTCCCAAAAATTATATGGTTGGATTCGTATTTGAACATGGTTTCCAATGATATCCATGCACCAATATTTGTTAGTTAAATTTAAGATCAAAATTTAACACAAAATGCGAAGGGGACCAATAAACCAGGATAAAGGTAGTACGCAATCACTACTAGGGAAAACCTTATACACAGCATCTTAGCAGTAGCGCTGGACAAAACAGAGTGCTACTGCTACTTAGTAGTAGCGAGTTTAAATAAAGCGCGCTACTGCTACTACTTTAGCAGTAGCGCGTTCTGCTAAAGAACGCTGCTGCTATACTTGTACTGGGCGCAGTTGGCTAGACACACTTAGCAGTAGCGCGTATGCCCCACCAGCGCTACTGCTAAGTCTCTTAGCAGTAGCGCTTTTCTCTGAAACGCGCTACTACTTACTTACCTTATCCTAGAGCGGTGCAGTTCCCTGTCACTCACTCTTTCCCTCTCACTCGCTCTCGCCCGGCCGCGCCGAACCCGTCGTCCGCCGCCGCCGCACTGCTCCTCGCCGAGGTACTCCTTCCTCTTCCCTCCTTCTCCGGCCGCCCTCCTCCCACCTCCCCTCCCTCCTCCTTCTCCAGCCGCCCCCTCCCTCCTCCTCCTCCGGCCGCCTCC